GACTTCATCTCTGTATGTAATAATGCTACCTGGGCTATCGGTGAAATATCTGTACAACTTGGTAAGTAAAGTACCACTGTTGTGTCTATCTTGAGAATAGACCTCTTCAGCTTAGGGTAATGTTGTCTCATTTCAGACCACATGTCATTCCCTTGAGAATAAGATTCTTTGTTTAAGCTGTATCCATATTCATGTGTCTTCTTCATGTGCAACTGAGCGCAAACCTTAAACAAAGAAATGATACTCTAGGGAATGACATGTGGTCTGAAATGGGAAAACATTACGTCAGAGCCAAAGAGGTCTGTTCCCTTGTCTTGAGRACTGAAATCTTTTTACAAATCCTGATGATTGGTTGAGAACCCAAAAGCCTTGGTAATACATTTAAAATTAACATTTCATTTTATTATTCAACATACTTGTACATTGTTTTGAATCCAAAATAGAGATTTTTYACAGGGGATCTATATAGGATTCCTTCCAGCTTTCCATTGGTCTGAAATAGGAAAGCATTATAACTTAAGTAAAAAGGTCTCTATTTAAAGAATTGTAACATTTTCTTGCTCTTCCAGGTGCTGAAATGGAAACATATGTTGGTCTTGTCCTSAATCAGCTGATTGAGATAATCAACCGACCTCACACCCCAAAGACACTTCTTGAGAATACAGGTTTGTATCAATGTTTATACCATTGTAGTATATTCATAGTACTTGCAGTAATACTCAACTTGAAACCAGAAGTTTTTGGATGACTTTTACTGTCGYGGAATCATAGTCTTCGTTCTATAGACTCGCTGTCAAAGGCAAGGAGTGCTTTTGGGACATTTTAGAATGATTTTACTTTACCTCTGGAATAAACAGTAGTCAGTGGAGGTTTCTTTCCATTGTTTTCTATTGTGTCSATTTGACTTTTACACATTAACAAATAATTTTTGTTTTACTGGTTAAGTAAAATCACTCTACCACAATCCCATTACACTGTATATTTGTATTTTGTAAGGGTTTCTGAGAGATATACTTATGAGATGCCCCAAAATCATTTTTCCATCTACTGCTACTACAGTAGATACTGTACCATCATCGTTGAAGTGCAGCCTGCAAAGTTTGGTGTTCCGTGAGCCAACGAGCACCCAAAAGCCGTCAATCACAGAACTGAAATAAAATAATATGAGGGAGATTTTGGACTGAATTAAGATTTTAGAGAATTCAGTCTAATATCCCCCWCAATATATATGTATTTTAGTTCTTTGATTGATAGTCGTTGAAATGCCAGTCAGCGAATGAGACATCAAACTTCGTGGGTCGMACTTCAACAATAATGGTAGTAAATAAATATTGTGCATTRACTTCTGAAATGGGTAGCATGGGTGGCGTTCGTGGCTAACGCATCGTCTTTCACCGCTGTGAGTCCAACGGGTYGGGTCGTTRGTTCGAGCCCTGCSGTCGCCACATKTGAATTGAGTTTGTTTGATGTGTTGTTCTCTCCTATGCTACGAGGGTTTTCTCCGGGTTCTCCGGTTTCCTCCCTCCGTAAAAATCAACATGTGAGTTGAGCGTTGTGTGCATAGAATATTCAATGACGTGTAGTGCGTGTGAGCGAAAAGTGTCCCCAGTTAGCGCGAAAGCGCTAGAACGACTAGACACTTGATTTTTTTTCCCTACGTGATTTTTTTYCCCTACTGATTTACCTGAACTACAGTACATATTCCAAAACCTACATGGAACCATCGTTTMCTCACTTACCCTTAACACCATCTATGTGGCACACGTACCATGTTAACTGTACCGCACTATCGCTGCTATAACTGCTGTCAGTCCATATAATCCCACATAGGTAATCAAACCCACATGATGATCACAGTAAAACTGATTGTTTTGTTGTATTACTGCATGCATCTGGTATATATTTTTTCTCTCTTTTTTTGGTTAACTGTGCAATAGCAATCACTATTGGTCGTCTGGGGTTAGTGTGTCCGCAAGAAGTGGCTCCTTTGTTACCGCAGTTTATTCAGAAGTGGTGTGTATTGTTGGTATATTTCTTTTCATTATTTATATCAGTAATGTTAAAAGAATCCACGGGAACCAAGGTTGCGTAGATCTTGTCACTCCAATCTCGTTAACATCATTTATATTCACTGTACAAATGCGCACAACATCTTGGCACGGGCGCACCCGCAAGACTTCTTACTCATCAGGGAGGCACTTTGTCATCGTTTCTGTGCATGTTTGACGAAATGGCATTTCATCTAGCATGTGTAGTGAGAAGGATAGACCTTCAGGGTCGACAGTGTCCATCCTTTCACAGACGCTTAAAAGRATTTGTTTGCACCTTTGTGATATTTGAAACAAAGTCTCGATTTTGTCACCTCAGCAATAGGCCCTTTGCAGCTCAGTAATCACGTGCTGATTAATTCACGGAGAGCAAATGAATGAACATCTTGATTCCCATGGTTGAAATTTACTGGACTGCAAACAAACTTTCTACAACCTGTTTTGAGAGATCGTAATTAAACTGCATTTCGTAACACACGGGTTGAACATCATTTCATCCAGTTCTTTACAAGTACCTAAAAAGAATCACCAATTTAACATGAAAACATAAATTTTGCCCTCCAGTACAGACACGTGGCCGTTAACTGGAAAGGGCCTGTTAACTGCTATGAAATGAAGATACAACCTAACAGCGTCATTAGAACAGTTAAAAGAATCATTTAGTCCTGAAAGTCGGAGGATGGATRAGATCCTATCGATAAAGCTGCGAGTATAAAATTTTATCAGACCATTTTATTACAGCTACAAATTCCGAGCTACCTGTCTTTCTACAATGCACACTTGTTGCRTACAGTCCTTTGACTAAACGTTGTCGTKTGATCGGCTTCATCCCTACGCGCCTAGACCGAAAAAGATCATGGGGATAATTAATTTACAGTTACTAGCTGCCGCATATGTTATCTAACACGTCTTGAGCTCGCTGTTTTCGATCCCATTKAATWTGCTAAAACCATGCCTCGAGCATACGGCGAAGATTTAAACTRGCGAGCAGTTTRGRTGACGCAAGTTCTGGGTAATTTACCCGTTATCMTTTTCGGTCTAGGMGCGTAGGGATGATCCGATCAACGACAACGTTTAGTCAAARGACTGTATATTATTAAACCMCTGATTATGTAGCTATGTACTCGTTATACATAGTAGATTGGCTAATGCTGCAAACGAGGAATCTTCTGATTTGCAGTACTGATTATGCAAACGCACAAGTATTACCGCCGTTAACGAGATTTAACAGACAGTATCTACCRGTGGATACTTGTGGATAAATGTTACGTGGATTGTTTATGTTGTTTGTTCCATGGGTGTAAAAATATAACGATCATTTGGTTAARTAGCATGCTAATAGTGTCCAATAACACGTCATGCTAATAAAATCAATGTCTTCAGTATATTCAAKTATATTGCCCTATTATTTCAAAGTTTGATTTATAAGGGATATTGCCATGGAAATTAATTTATATGGATGTGACGTCAACACCAGTTCAGGTGGTTTACACGGGCAATTTTGGCTGCGATTCGTAGAATGTTTTAAACTCTCATCAAATACAGTGTACTATTATTTACAGCGCGAAATTCAGTGCGATTTAAGCGGCGCGTTGTGTGGAAAAACGTTTAGCATAGCGTGCGAACACAGGCCTTTTCTGGGATAGTGAACATRGTGYATTGTGGTCTAGCTTGAGAAGAAAMACCTTTKCTAAATCATSTCTTATAAGGTGATGTTTGTACCCAAGGTAGACCACACAAAGCATCGTGTTCATCGAACTCAGAACAGGCCTTTCTATTCGCGCCYTTACTGACRTGCCGTACCGTAACCGTGACGGGGRCAATGACGTGTCGRAGTTAAGTATCTTCTTCTATTAKCMATTCCGAGTTTRAGGGGTAAACTAGGTGGAGTTGGTACTGRAGTGCATTTTAGGGTTAYTTAAGGGGAAGAAATAGACGCCATCTTGGAAATATGTCCCGYAAAACARCCYCAWAATGCAYTGCAATGYCARCTMGASCCAGTYTTTYCCTCAACCACGGAACGGCTAATGAGCAAGGGTTKCGGGCGACGTCATTTATTTACTGTTTTACCCTCATTCGAATRAAAGCCTTGCCTTGTACTCTACCACTTTAAATGTGATGATTTTTTTTTCCAACCACAGGTGTACATCATTGCGAAACATTCGCGACAACGAAGAAAAAGACTCGGCCTTCCGTGGTATCTGTAGCATGATAAGTGCAAACCCAGGGGGAGTGGTGCAGGTAGGGTTTTGTCAYACTCTCAAGGGCTCCACATAGTTCACCAATAACACCGTGTTCCTTGATTCCAAAATCATTTACTTAGTGTCAAAATATTTACAAATGCCAAAAGTAAAGTAAATAATGCACAAATTCAACAATTCCAAACGGTGAAATTCCACGGACTTTCCCTGAAAGACGTGAATATTAGCACAAATCCTAGGATAAAAATGCGAACTTCAGCAGTGGAGATTTACGACAAACGTTGATATTTTTCTCTTCTTCAGGACCTGATATTCTTTTGTGATGCTGTTGCATCTTGGGTCACTCCCAGTCCCGATCTTAAAGACATGTTTCTCAAGGTAAAATATTGCTTCTTTAAACATYAAGGTTGTTAAGGTGGCGCTGAGGGAGTAAGATATAAAGTGAATGGATAATGTTCGCTTTCAACGATCTTCTTAAAACGGTGTTAAAAATAAAATTGACAAACGTTCGGTRCTGTATCCGAACTTTCTAGTTAAGCCATGATTTTGTGTGTAATAATAGTTTCGAAAGAGGTCGTTAATTCCGTACCGTGGCATTACCGTGCCGTGCCGTGTGCCATTTCACAGTCAACGAACTGATCTACTCTAACGCATTCTCTTTTGTTAAATTGCAGATCCTCCATGGCTTCAAGAACCAAGTCGGAGAGGAGAACTGGAAACGATTTTCCGATCAGTTTCCGACTGCTCTTCGTGAACGCCTGTCTGCGAACTATGGTGTGTAGTGAGGGACCCTTTGCTGTCTCTGTGGGTAAGTTCCTGTCAACTGTTGAAAAGGACTGTTGATATCCATTTGATATTTATGTAGCGCACGTTTAGGATAAGATGGGTTTTCTGATTGACGCAGAAAATAATAATAAATTTAATTCTTATATAGCGCATGATCCATAGGGAGATTTARAATAGGCGCTTTAAAAGAAAGACGGAAAGCCATTAGTAGTAATGGCAATTAAACTTTAAGCTGGGTTGATAATTTTTGTTGTTAGTGGAAACCAATTGGTGTCCCTGCCTTCGCAAGTAAAAAGCTGAAGAAGTTAAAAATATAATTTTTTCCCTTTCTTTTATTTTCAGGAAGGGAGGAATAACAGGTGTACCATGGTAGGAGTACTTCAAGTACTGACTGTCTTCGTCCACCGTCACGTCAGTCAGTGTCTATCTAACTATCTGTCTGTCTGTCTGCCCATGCAGTCTGTCTGTCTGTCCGGGAGGGTTGTCACTGCTGAGTAACTAACCWATAGAGCTGAACCAATCTGCACAGTAGTGACATATACACCATAACCAACAAAGGGAAGGGATGGAATAGTTCCCAGGGATACTCGGTGTCACGTGTCTTGTCAAGTGTGTGTCACGTGACGTCTTGTTAGAACCAAGGACGTGTCATTTGTTGCCCATGTCAAGCAATTAATTAATTAATTAGTAAGGTTCATCTAGAAAGGGGGTAACAAATCAATCTAGCTAAATTATCTCGTTTCCAAAGTCGCGCTTAAAATCAAATATCGATTTTTTGAGTTCAAGTTCAGAGGAAGACTGGTAATAGTGATGTCACGCATACTGGTCAGCAAACATCCCAAACAAAAAGACGTAGTCGCCATTTTGGTTGCAACGAAAAAATTCAACGAACATTGGTGGCTATGATGACCAGCAATTATGGGGTTAAATTTTGTGACTCGTTGACGAAAAAATGTTTTTCACTCGTGTCGCAAAMATTACCCACAATTCTATGTATGGCAAGCTCGTTACCAGTCCTTCATTGACCTTGAAAAACAAAATAACTCAGATATAGAATATTCGAACGACTGAATCCTCCGATAATAATTTATAATWCTTCGTTTAAATCGAAAAAAATGATCTGTCACCTCGAATAGGTGGCTCTTAAATACAATAGGAACATTTTGTTAACGGTCAGCCAGCACAGCACAGCGAAGTAGAAGCAAAAAKTCATTGTTTTCTGTCGTTAAAGCTGTTAACACTTGCTCGCTGGTAAAAAAAAAAAGTGACCTTAACTTTCTTTTTCTTTGAATGTTTTTAAAAATAACATGAATAATTCTAATATTTTGTATAATTTTAGTTTCAAGTAAATGTATATTTGTAATTAATGACCAAAAGATTTATTAGAAAAATCGCAATTTATAATTCCTTTATTTCCTAGATAAATGCTAAAATAATCTSAATGATCTGGTAAGGTTGCAGAACCAAGCATTAAAGTTACCCCACCTCCTCCCCCCTGAACCATAAGTGTTTAATATATGTCATTTATGATCAGCTAATAAAGCTTGGATGTAACCGTTACGTGACGTCAGATTGTGACGTATGTGGTCCTGTGTCGTCTGTGTCAGTCATTGATAACCTGTAATCATCCATYGTACCAGTTGGTTGCCATAGTAATGCTTACTAAGTAATTGTCAAGTATATGGTTAGCAGTCTTCACAGAAACGTATGCTCGAAGCTTATATTTGAAGTAGAATTCGCTGACCTTAGCTGTAGGAGCCTGTAGAGCTTTATATTTCAATCTAAGCTCTAATTTGTCATTACAGTACAAAATTAACAGTATTCCGAATTCTGCAGTGTAATATTTCAAAACAACGAACTTTTTTCGCAACATATATGTAACCAGTGTCGGAAAAAAAGGAAAACCATCGGAGGAAAATGTTTTCGTTTCCAAACAAACAAAGTTGCGGCAATACTCCTTCGTATTTTGAAAATCAAACATTCCACCTCTAATATTATTATAAGATCTTGTCGTCGTTCTCATTTCAGTTTCATCCTTTCGCGAAAATTAAACCATCCAATCGGGTTGCGAGTCAAAAGCCATTTCAGTGTTACGATATGGTCAAACCAATCAGAGCCCGCGGAAAATAAACCATCCAATCAGGTTGCGTGTCAAAAGCCATGTCAGTGTTACGATATGGTCAAACCAATCAGAGCCCGCGGAAAATAAACCATCCAATCAGGTTGCGTGTCAAAAGACATGTCAGTGTTACGATATGGTCAAACCAATCAGAGCCCGCGGAAATTAAACAATCCAATCAGGTTGCGAGTCAAAAGCCATTGCAACGATATGGTCGTCCTTTTTCTACTAACAATAGATTTTTCTCCTGTTTTTACATGCCAGTTTACTATTATCTTTCTTTACCGGTTTTCATCTTGGTTCCGTAATTTGGAACCAAACCAAAYTTCAAATCTCGTTTCCAAAGACTTCAAAAAAGGCTAATCCAATATTCCGATTAACCGTCAAATGCTTAAACAGCATTGAAATGGGAAACGTTACGCGCAAGGTAAAGAGGTTCTATTCTCCGTTTTCCTTCAAAGAGTATTCTGGTACGGAGAATTTCGTAGAGGAGTAGGCTCCCACAGTTCCGTCAAACCTAACTCGTAACGTTCAAGAAAACAGCCGTCAAAAATCTGGGCTAATCTGTTTAATAACAGCTCAATATTTATTAATATCGTATTTTAATAATAACCAAATAATATCTAGATATATTAATGTCATTTTAGTATAACCCGTTGGTGTTTTTGAATTGCATCCATAGGAATATTATTTATATTTTAGAGTATTATAATTCATTGAATATTCGCCCTCGTTTCCGTGATATTAAGATTGTTTAAGTTGATGTTCTGTCGAGCATTGGGCAATACGCAAACAAGCAAGGGACTGGGGCAAGTTTTAAATTTTAACTCTTAAATAYTTTACGCTTCTGAAGGCTCGTAACTGGTTATTTTTAACGAAACACGTTTAAATTTGCCAGACTCACTAATATTGATACGCTTTCTCGATGACAAAACGTTTTTGCTGATTAGATTAAACTTAAAACGTACTCCCTGTCCGTTGCTCGTTTCCTCATTGGCCAATAGAAAGCGCGATTTTGAGCGCTTTATGCTAATTCTTTCTCAAACAAGGTAMATCTTAATTTGGCCGGAAGCGTATGCGTCTCCGTTTTGTCTTCCGAATCGGAAAACTACTAAGTTCTTATGCTAAAAACGTCCAAACCTTCGTTATCATTTATCTAATCTTATTTTAATTAATTGTTATACAATTATTCACTAACTATAGATTCCGCGATTACGTAATTCTATATTAGGAGTTCCTGCTTATTCATTCAGCATAGAATAGAATTTTTTTCGTCTTTTCCTTTCCTTTCCTTTCCTTTGCTTTCCTTTCCTTTCCTTTCCTTTCCTTTCCTTTCCTTTCCTTTCCTTTCCTTTCCTTTGAATTCCATCCCTTTCCATTTCCTTCTCCCTTCTTTCCCTAAATTTCTTTTCTATTCCTTTCCTTTCGTTTCCTCAACTTTTATAATAGATAGTCGAATAGACAGCCATTAATCCTAATCCCTAAAGTTAACGATAACCTCACCCAACTCATCCAAGACATTTTTGCCGTCAATAAGTCTAGCCCTCACGTCWTTTACAAAGGGATCACTTTATCCCTTGTTCAATTTTAACGGATAAAATCATTATTTTTTCATTAATTTTCCAAACCAGCTGGTCTGTGTTTGTGCGTCTTGTGTCTAGRAGACCGTTTACATAAAGGTAGGATAACCTGGGTTCTAGGGACAAGTCTTTGGTTCCACAGAGGACACAAAAGAGTTAGCCCTAGAAATACGGTCACCCTACCTTCATGCAGACGGCCTCTAAGTAACCGCTTTTCGTTGTTGTTCGCTCGTCAGTGTCGTAACGATTGGCGTTTATATATAGTAGTGTTAGTATAATAAATGAATTAGTATTATTTTATGTCAAATAAATCGAGATTTTAACGTTTGGCACGGATATGTTTGAATTCTTAATGCGCAGTTCTCATGRGATGAGGTCATGTATGTACAGCACAAAACCAAACAAAAACACTATTCGGACTCAAATCTCAGCACCAAAGCGTTCGTCAACTATCAAACTATAACTTTTATATCATAGTTGTCGTCCAAAAAAAAAAAAAAATCGAAAAAAAAAGTTTAAAAAATCGAAGCTTTTCAGTAATTATATTTCCAAAGCCTTCGAGAAATACTTACTGCTTTCGTTAACTACATTCAGGACCCGTCCACACTATCGCAGCATCCGGATATTTTTAAAAACAATTTCTTTTCCAGATTTGCCTTGAAAACGCAACTTGTCGAAAAGAGATACCTGTGGACGGCGGAAATGATCCGAAAGAACTACGCGTGGACGATAATATTTTTATTAACGGAATAAAAAATCCGTTTTTWAAAATATCGGGATATAAAGTGAACGCGTGGTTCACACCGAAATACTAGAGGTCTCTCTCTTGGAGAACGGTTTCTTATTGCAAACGTTTTAAAAACKAGTTACATCGTTAAATATTGATCCATGAAGAAAAAAATAATACTAAAGGGAGCATTTTAGCTTGGGGCAAAGTTTTTGCTTGCCCTTCATTGATATCCAGTACCAACTTCGCCCCCTCCTCCCCCCCGTCATAAATCCTATTTGTACGATACGCCGGGCTTTATACGCTCGCACTGAAACACGCGTGAAATAAAACACGATCTTGAAGTCTATATTTTTATTACTAGATTTTATCGTCAAGACTCTCCTTGCTATTGACTACTCTTAAACCTCCAGTGTAAGCGGCTTAGACTAACTTACTCACTTCTGAGGTCGGTAACAAAAGCAGAAATTAGAAAAACAAAACAAACAACTCTTGGATTTGAGGCTAAGTCCACATACACTGGAGTTTTAAGAGTCACCATTGCTAAAAGCTCGGCACCACGCTCTTCTCATCCAGCTTAGACGAAAAGAGCCTGGGATAGAGYTTTTCTGAGTTACCTAGAACCTTCCACTAGAATCATTATTATTACTGGTATCCTCCGATGATGCAAAGATCGAGTCAAACAGATTTTGCTTGGTGCGCACTTCAGATTCAATGCTTGTGCTGGTTGAGTGATCATCAAATGAACCATACTGAGGAACTCTAGCTTTTCTCGGGCATGCGCAGTGGCACGTTTTCTTGCAAAACCGCCAGAACTTGATTGCGCAGACCATGGACGAATGAATGGTTGCTATGACAAGAAGGGTTCCCGAGACATTATCTTTGCTTTCTTGATCATCYATGATTTGAATGATGGCTAAGATGCATAGTACAAATAGGTAGATGGATTCTGTGACGTTGGTAAGTATGCGCTTGTAAGRCTGCACGTTGGAATGGATCGCGAATACGAAGATAGACATGATCATCATCCATATCTAGAAGAAAGAAAACATGATTTCAATAACATTTTCTCATCTTCAGAGGGACATTTCTTAAAAATTATTATTATTATTATTATTATCATAATTATTATAATAATCATATTATTATTATTATTTCGTTATTATTATCATTACGTATTATTATTATTATTTATTTATTATTATTCTAGGAGTAGATGCCGTGCGACTATTGTCGTACCGTGCCGTGATCACGAAGGTGATTGGATGACCAGTTAACTCACGCTCTATGACGTAGTTTTTCAAGAAAACATACAAGAAAAATCTTTCCTAAGATGTACGTGTGCTTGCTTATCTTTGCGACGTTTTATTCAGGCTTACGATAAGCAGAAAGCTCGATCTCATGAAGCATTACAATAACTTACAGTTGAGCCACTACGGCCTGTATTTTATGCAGATTTAATGGCGGTATCACCGACAAGCAAGGTAAGAATAAATGTCGTGCGCAACAACTTTAAAATCTTATCCGTTTAACGCGTCGTACATTACTGTGCCTTCTTGTCGTTTTTAATCACAAAAAAKAAACAACTATTTAGTGATTTTTTGTAATGAATGTCAACTTATGACTTTACCTGTTTGGTTTTCCAGTCAGGAATAAACACGAAGGTCCCCACGATCAGAATACGGCGCGCAAAATCCACYGCCCACCACCAGCGACAGTGATCACGAAGCCCCTCGGTTAACGTACTGAGATACTGAGGATCGACCTTCCAGTAACCYTTAGTAAGAAGCATAATGACGACAGGAGGTGCAATAACTAAAGTGACGAGTACTAGTAATGCAATCACTGCCATGAACAGATGTTCTCCGTGGAAGCACTCGATATTCCCGTCGTAGAAAAACCTCATTTTGCCGTCGATGATGGGGCAGTGCAGGATCAGTAACGTGRTTTCTACTAGGTATTTATACATGAAGAGGATTAAGAGCCAGAAGGATTTGAGGTTGGAAGTCTTGCGCAGCTTGGTTCGTATGACTCGCTTCGTGCTCAAGACGTACGCAACCAGGAATATCAGGAGGGTAGTRAGGGGCATCATGTAACCRACYGCCAGYGCAAAGATGTTCGTGATGCCATTAGCGATGCATGTGTTCCATACATACACAAAAGGACCACCAAACKCAAAAATATTGGCGAATAATTTCACTAYCTTGCCTACCTCGTCAGCAGGTTTAAAAATGAATGGAAGCATCTGGAAGAAGAACAAGGGCCCACGAAGGTCCTTGGACATGCTAGGATTCAAATATATGACAAGTACGCAGAGAGAAACCACGATGACAAAGACSACGCCTAGAATCCATCCACCGTCTCGACAGTCCAAACACTCGTACATTCTTAATCCAACGCTCAGTCCCTTGGAGCATTTACCGCAGAKGATCCCCTCCCGTCCYTCTGCGCACTGTGCTGTGAAGTTTTTGGTGTCTAAGATACATCCTGAAGTGGTATCGGGATTATTATCTCGCTTGCAGTGGCAGTATTTGGATGGACAGTTATAGGTGATAAGTTGGTTGTCAACAGAGAGGCCAGCCCAGAARCCTTCTTTAAGATATACGGTGCGCTCACCATCACACCTAGAAAATAATGCGAAGATGGTGCACTTTGAGACAAGAATATGTAAAAATAAAACTAGTAGCCCTCTTAACCTTGGGCGTAATGTTTTCCCCTTCTCTGGAGTAACATTTCTTTGTTTAACGGTTGCGCATGAGAAGACAYATGAATATTGATACAAGAAATCGATGTATTYTCAAGAGAACGACACATGACCGGAAATRAAAAGACGCTACGCCCAAGGTAAGGAGGTCTATTGATAATCGTAGATCATAAAGCGATTGACACAARAGACAGACAGAAAAACGCAACCCATTTTTAGTTTTTCTTCTTTTACTCAGACGAAGGACTAGCGTCCGAAACGTTAGTAAGTTTTTTCATCTTTTCACGGTGTATAATTTAACTTTTTATCATTACAGTTTCATTAGAAACACCGACGCAGCTCACACTAGGTTTTAGCTAGTTATCTYTCCATGTTTAGACAGGGCTGCCACAGGCACCCAATATCAACCATAGCAACAACTACGTAACCTAGGAAACAACTACGTAACCTAGGCAACAGATGCGAGTGACTCACCTTAAGACTCCAGGAATACTTGTATCACAGACACAAATCGTATGTTTGAASATATATCCCGGGGAACAACCAACAGCCTTCAAGTTGAAAGAATAATTAAAGTCGATGGATGAGTAAACACCCGTCACACTTATCTTATAAGAGCTGCCAATCATGTCCTGGTAGGCCCGCGATCCACGGGCGTAGTACTTGAACCCCAGCGTGTTGTTAGTGGATGAATCCAGCACTTTCAAGGTATTAGGTACCATAAGATTATACGTGTGGTTACTAATGTTGCTTGTCATTAGTACATTTGCGATGGTGTAGACTACATGACCGAGTTCGTCTCGACCCTGAAGATGAAGCTTTACGTTTTCTCCTGGGAAAAGCTGCAAAATTTCAACWGCAAAAAACAACTATTTTAATTGGTAAAATTGCTTATACTTATAAGGTCAGTATTTCACATAGAATGGATGTTCAATAAATAGTGATGTTTCACATTGATACTGACCAAAAGGAGCGCTCAGTTTCGTTGGGAGGTTACGTATTATCTAACCAATTTATTCTATTTTTATTTTAATAAAAGCATATAGTAATTATATATAGTAATTATTTCTTCAATAGTATAGAATCCTTATTTAGATATTAGCTCCTTAATTTATATACTTAATACATAGCGTAATATAGTTTTTAATGTATTTACACGTTTTTTACACGTTCGTATTTTGAACGCGCTTTATAAGCTCTTGRTAGCCTGCGTCACATCCGGAATTTTCTTAGTAAATACCACGGTATTTAATTACAAAGAAAATTCCGGATGTGACGCAGGCTAGATCTTGGACGATACGTGACTAAATAAACTATTGATTGATTGATTGATTGATTGATTGATTGATTGATTGATTGATTGATTGATTCAAATCTATATAATATATCTCATGCAATTTTTCCTGTATCCTACATCATGAAATGAAACTTCAGCTTCTTAGTAACATCGCGGTACTCTTTTCATTTTTGGGATTCATTTTCACACAACTGCTCGTTTTAATGTGGGGTAATATAATGCGACGTTATTCTCAAGATAGCCAATATTACAAACGCAGGTACAGCTGAAATACAAAATCCAAAAAAAATTGCAGTGAAAGAGGATGTTCCTTTTCCCGTAAGGTTGCAACATTGCGTTACAATAACAAATATGTAATATTGATTGGTCGGTTCCTCTGTTCAACAATCGCGAGCAAAGTTGCTCCATTGTTGATAATMAAAGTTGCAMAGGAGAACTGAAAAATAATCAACATTCCAATACTGTAACGCAATGTCGCAACGTCACGGAGAAAGAACGTACTGTTTCACTGTAATAAACAAAAATCATCCTTTTTCTACCTCCATATTTGCGTTCTCAGGGTGCTTATGCTCTATCATAGCAGTATCTGTAGCGATATCATATTCCGGGCCATACAGTCTGCGCTTTTCACTATCAACTTTCATGTAATTGTCCTCATAAATGAAGGTGGTGTTGACCCAGCGTAGAGACCTGTTGAAGCTGTAATGAGGATATTCCTCGTCCCAGAGGCAAGACGATAAAGAGGTCACGAAGATGGCTGCTCCTTTCAGYTTGGCGCTGTTTCTAGCGAACACCACCTTGGTCTGAATGTGAGAAGAACAGTTGCCATAAACAATAGACCTCTACTTTGGGTGCATGTAATGTTTTTTCCCACTTYAGACCACGTGTCATTCSMTTGAGAATAAGATTCTTTGTTTGAGTYGTATYMATATTCATGTGTCTTCGCGATCGCTTGTGTGTAACCGTTAAATAAAGAAAAGATACTCAAGAGAATGACACGTGGTTTGTAATGGGGAAATATTACAACCAAGGTAAAGAGGTCTATTATTGGTTGAGGTTGAGCACGAGTATGATATCGTAAATTATCAATGCTGTAATTTCTGCCGAATCCGTAGGCCGCGARACAGATTAAACAGCCAAGGTGTTGATCAGTAATTCATGATATCGTGCGAAAWCCGGATTTCCTTTTATTTTGTTAATAATTTTGAAGATCTACTCTTTTTCCTAAACATAACAATTCCGTATTTCAATCTCCCTGGGTGAACTTAAAAGTTGTTGTCACAGACTAACCCTTTTAATAAAAGGAGACCACGATTTCATTTTGGATTCTYGTTGTTTCTGAGAAAAAACTGTTGTATGCGGATCCACGAGGCGTTACTTTGACAATGTGATGACGCAATTTATTGTCAATAAAAGGACAGACACATAAAAAACTGATGTCTATTTGTTAACTTGAAGAAACATAATTCTTATCTTAAATACTTGGTTACTGTGCAACGTACCTTCCATTTGGAGGGAGGCGTGAAACTCTCGGAGTATGTCAAAAAGCAGTCCGTGTTATACATGTGTATCACCTCGTAGATGGGGAATAACTGCACGCTTAATGCACCTCCATTAGACGACACGTGGTTGTCAGCAAATATCAATTCACTGTTTGGATAGAGTTTTATCTGGCTGGACCAAATCCTCAACCCTCCCCCTGACGATCCTGTATTGCCCGTRAAGTTCAGGGTCCCTTGCACGTGAAGTATTCCGTGTTCGATAACCATCCCTCCTGCTCCATGGTTATGTTTGATTTCATTTACTCCCAACACACTGATTTTAAACCGCTGTACTGTGATAGGGGCAAGGTATGAGTGAATGTTGTGTGAGCCACTGATGTGCTCTGAGATTACACAGTCGATCAGTTCTATGACACTACCTGGGACATCACCGTATGGTAATGATGAAGTGCAGCGGATGGCCGGTGCTGACTGAGCTGAATTCCTCCGCACATTTAACTGTTTTAGTCTCAGTTTCGAGTCCAAAAGCCCCTCAATACTCATGAAGAATGCATTCAAGCCTCCGCCTCGAGGGGCGATGTTCCCTTCAATCGTGCAGTTCTCGATCAGTATGAAAGAATTCCTTGACTCATCCCATTRAGAAGTACAAATACCTCCCCCTGCTTGTCCTGCGATGTTKTTACTTATGACACTCCGACTAAAAAACAACGCATTCCCAGTGGAGGTACCAGATTCGATCAGGTAAATACCTCCACCATAAGAAGCTGAGTTTCCAGACAACGTAAGATTATCAAGAGTCGCTGTACAGTTTTTGGTCGTATTGAAAAAGACTATTGATATAGCGCCCCCGCCTTCGCCGAAGTTGGACACATTTGAAGCAGGGGAGACATAGTAAGTATCATTATGAACTACTGCCGAATTGTTATAGAAGTAAGAATCCTTTATAATCACGGCCAAATTGGTAGAGTTATTAAACATGAACCCTGTTCCTGCAGACTGGGACACGTGTCCTGGAGTAAACGGTGGCGTTCCAGAAGTTTCGTTCAAAACATTCCTATTACAAGTATTATTAGTAAAGGTACACCTTCGGATCATTACACTACTATCCATCCCATTGATCGCGGCTTGATAATTATTTACAAAGGAGCAATCATAGAACGAGATGTTCAGAGAGTTCCAAATCATCACAGCAGATGCGAGCACTGGTCCACAGTTTCGGAACTCCACATTAACAAACTGAACATTCTGAGCCATTCTTTGAGCGAATTGGTCTCCAACAGTGATGCCGGCCGAAGGATCTGTACATTGAAAAGACATGATACGACAACCTTTGCATTTACCTTCTATTGAAATACTTATTCCTSGTCTTGGCTGTAGGATGGTAACACGTTGATTCATCAGGTACAAATCTTCCATCATCAAGATCTTCAACTCGATGTCATTGTGAAGGTACGCTGTGTCTAATCCTCGTAAAGCAAATTGTAAAGTTTTACATTTAGATTTAGAATCACGGTCAAAGCAAGACACGACATCTTGGCCTTCAGTCTGCGACACTTGAATTTCAAAAGCAACGCAAGAATTCCAAATTGCATTGGTCAAAACACAAAAGWTGGCAAGCTTAATCATTACTGGAGTCTTGTTGATGAACCTATGTAAAGCTCAAACCTAAGACCGACAGTCGTGTTAAGTAAATGCTAGAAGCTTTGACATAGTAATTTGATAGTAATAAGACTCTCATTGCGTTACGTGTTACTGTAAGTCACGTTGATGAGAGGTGGAACGCACTAGTCAGGCACGTGCCATGGAGAACGAAATCATTTAAGAAAAACGTGTATGGAAGAATCGTGACCTGGGTATTATGCGATTATGTAGCACTTTGATCATCACGGGTTCTTCGGAACTCGAAAATGAAAATATTTTAATGCTATAAAATGCTCTTAAGAATCATTTTTCAAGACTCCAGTGATATGCCAACACCGTTTGGCAAGAAGAGAGAAGATATTTAGACAAAAGAAGGTTAAGGATTGTATGCACACTGGACTGTCAATACAAACACTAATATGTCACTAAATAGTCTGTTCGCGAGTGTGAGGTAAACTATAGATAGGATTGACGGACCGTGGAAACGTGCAGAACGAACACAACAACCTCAATCTATTTTAGTGCACTTTTAAGACATTTCATATCCATTTAATCATGGTTGTTTATACAACATTGACCTACAATGCATTCTTATCCTTCTCTTGCTGTCTTTCCTCGGCTCAGAATACGAACGACTTTACTTACGAAGTGAAAATTGCTCGTGATGATTACCTRCCGGGAATGGAATAGATGCCCGGTAGTTTTTAGAGCACCCGGTGTTTTTCTCGATTAAGAGGCATKGACAGAAACGAGGGTGCTTAGTTGTGCGCAGGGTCCGAGAAATAGTGGACTCTTTGGGTCGACATGCAATAGTCGCATACCATCATATAAACAGAAAATTATAGCCATATATGTACAGTTATTTCAAAAAASGTTGAATACTGCATTGACATGGATAATGCATTCCAAAATCAAACGGCATCGTGGGTCTTATTAATTTGAAATTAAAGTAAATATACAGCAATTAACTCACTACATGTAGTTAGTTTATTGTTTCAGATGTTAATCCTACTTTAGACAATGGCACTATGACCCACAATGGACTTCGGTCTTGCAATGCACTATTCAGTATGTATTCAACCTTTTTTGAAATAGCTGTAGAGAGAGAAAATACCGAGAATTAAAAGCAAGTGGAGTAAAAGCYCTTGTCAGTAGCCTGTTTCCAGGCAGCATTTCAATTCAGGAAAATACATTCGATTTTTGCGATCAATAAAATTGCTCAGCAATTCATTTAATGCTGAATATAAAGAAAAATGG